AGTCTCATCTTTCAGTGGTCAGTGAGTGCGCGTGGCTGGTGCACTACCCAACTTTATGGATGCATCGTGATTCGCCATTGCCATTGTTCCTCAATGTGGGGACATGGCATGGTGGATGCACAGCTCGGGCTTACATATTGTAGTGGATGCCTCTATGTATGTATGTGTGTGTGTGTGTTTGTTTGTCTGTCTGTTGTGTGGATGCTCGGCCTGCACAGTTCACGTGTTTTCGTGGCCATGGGGATATTTGTAGTTTAGATTGTCATTTGTTGTTTTTCAGGTTGATTGGCTGACGTGCTCAAGGCCGCTTGTTTCCCATCAACGTATTTCACATGTCCCGCTTGAGCAGGCAGCCGAGATTTTGTTTCAGAGCAGCAACCTTCCCCAGTGCTGCTGCCACTCCATTCGGTACATAGCCACCGGGTTTTGCTAGCCTTGAGGTTGTATCTGGACAGCAAGGGAATCCCATTCAGCTCGGATCAAAATTAGTGGAGGTATTTTTAGATTAAAATGTGATGAGGGCAGTGCATAAATAGACGTTGCGGCATGTTCACTGTGGACGAAAGGGAGTGTATGATCGTGTGAGGGTGTTGACCCTGTGTGAGGGCGTTGACCCAATGTACAAGCAGACAGAGTGAGAGTTTGTGTGTGTGTGTGTGTTTGCCTCACATACTCTTCTGAAGATGTGCGGAGGAGATTCCTGTGTGGGTCAGACAGATTCAGGGGAGTTTTCTTCCTGCGTGTCAAGGGATACTGTGGATGGACAAAATCCACTTCGCACCAGTTGGGATGGATGAAACCCATGAATATCGGGAAACGCCACCTATCAAGCGGTGCGAATTGGATTTGTCCATCAGTATGATCTCCAAGCTTAGCAGCTTGGCGGGTTTCAGCTGTGGCTTGCTTGGAAGCAAGGCTATCGGTTTCGAAAGGTTTTGAAACATTAGACCCAAAGTCCAACTCGGGCTCTCTTCTTTGTGTGATCTGAGCTGGACAAAATGGCACCCCTAGTCTTGAGTATCCTTTTTGCCTGGCTTGTGCAAATCATTTCATCCATTGCAGTAAAGAACGCAGTGCGGGAGTGGAGCGGTGTGGGGCTGCCAAGCAAGACGCAACAGAACTGTTTGAAAGGGCCCCTGGTTTTGTCATTAGGACAACTTTGGACCCAACAAGAGTTTACTTTTCGCGCGGCTAAACCCTGAACCCTATAAACCCTCAACCGGGCTCCAAGTGATTGGTTTCGGCCATGCAAGCCGAGGACCTCACCGCGATCCTGCTGCGGTATTGCCGCCGCGGCGGCATCGCCGTGCTGCAGGCGACGTGGCGAGCCGCTTCCCGGAGGGAGGGTTTCCCAACTTCTAGGGGTAACTTCCATTTCCATCCTTTCCAGGGATGCTTCTCTCTAACCACCAAAAACCCCGGGGAAATGGCGATCGGTTTTTTGAAAAGAACGATAGATAACTGGCGTCATCTTCGGGGGAGTCGAAGTCAGCAACTGGAATCGGCGGTTTCCCTTCAACCGACCGCTAAAGGGGTGGCTTTGGTGAAATAATGGGGCCTGTTAAAAGTCGTCCAAGGGTCTTCTTCATGTAAATCCACCGGCATGTGATCCCCATGTTCAAGGATGTTGAAAGCATCGTTCGAAAAGCTCGTTTCTGAGAAGCTCATCGACCGCATTCTTCAGCCGTCTGAACATTGTAAACCAAGCGTGCCCTCAAAAGGTGTGATTGTCCTCGTCTTCCAAAGGACTTAACAGCTTTGTAGAATGCAATGGTGTAGCTTCTCGGCTAGCTCGGAAGAAAGCAGGTTGGGCAGCGCCCCATTGCACTTGCTCAAGTAACAATCATGACCAAAGCGCAAACCCGGGTTCCAATATGGGGAAAAAAGGTGCGAGGAATGAAGAAAGGCTGTGAACCCTCAATGGTTGCAATCTGTTCTTGCCGTCTTTAGTTGGTTTGCCTCCGGCCACTGAACGAGTTCTCTCAAATCCAGCGAAAGAAACGCCTCAGACAAGCCGTCGAGTACAACAAGCACCGCTCTACGACGAGGCCGGCCTCTTCGCGTGCGGGACATTTTTTGGGTGGTCTTTGTTTAGGGGACCCACCGGAAATAGAAAGAAAGTGGTTTTCCTATTGGTTCCCCTTTAAAGCCACAAAAAGAGGGGCTTCCTCGAAAAAGAAGCAAACAAAACATTCAAAACAAAATAAACCCTGCCCGGAGGACCCTTTAAACATAAAGCGCTCCGGGCAGTTTGCAGTTTTGGGCATAGCGATCCTTCGGCCTGAAGTTGTGTTGTGGTGAACTGCTCCAGGAAAGGACCTTAGAAAGCGCACGAATTCACGTGAGGGCTCGATGCCTGTTGCCATGATTTGAATATTCCTGAGCACGTTGCTTTTCGGGTGTTAGGTGGTTGGTTCTGTTCTGAAAGAACTCCAGAACACTTTGCGGGTTCGATTCCCCAATCAGTCTGCTCAGTGCTTGTTGCTTGCTTGCGTTCCCGCCTCGCTCAAGTCTCGACTGGCTGCAAAAGGCAAAGTTTGTGTTGCTCACATGCCAACTCAGATTCATGTTCAGTGGCACCCTTTGTCCTTCTTTTTTGGGTGGCTGCCCCACTAAAAACGGTCTTCCCCAAAAAGGGTTCCCTTTTTTTCCAGGGTCACTGAACAACTGAGCCAAGGCTTGGGTCCGGTTGGGTCCCGTTGGAAAGGGGCCCCAGGTGGCCGCCATGTCCAACGGCCGCATCCTGGAGCAGGGCACGGCCAAGAAGCTTTGGGCGCTGCCCTCGATTGATCCGGGCAGGCGACAGGTTCGGGGAGAGATCCAAAAGCCCAAGTCGAGGGGTACTGGGTACCCTTTTGGTTTCTCATGGACTTCCTTTTGGTTTCCCTTTGAAGCTGGTTTCTCAAGATAACCGGAATGTGTTTCCCTTTTGGTTTCCAATTAAAATTCGCCCAAGGGGCCACCATTTCGAGAAACCTGACGAGCTTCGATCTCATATCGTGGTTCATTCGGGAGGGACATTCCAGACGAGCTCTCAAAATCCCCGCAGCCAGGGGATGAGCTCTAAATGTCCTATGTCCTTTTGGGGAAATGTGTTTCGGACAGTGCCTTTTGTGATAGTATTTATGGTTTTATAACCCCTTGTCTATCGGGCAAGACAGGACTATGAATAAAGAAACGGCCCTGACTCCCTGATGCTGTGTTTTGATCAGAAGCGGTCCACACACCACCCGGCTGGTAGAGAGGGGAACTCTCCAAGGGTCCCATGACAAGAAAGCCTTGCCATAAGGCTTGCTTGGCTGTGGAGGAGGACCCCGCAGGGGAGTCCCCTGTATGGCTTCTTCATTTCCAAGCAGAAACTAAAACTGAGAGTATTGGTTTTTGTCTTGGTTCGGGCAACCTGTGGATGGAATCATGCGGCCACCAATGCTATACCACGTCCTATGCGAAAACTGCAGGCCAAGTGATCGCCGACGAACTAACCAACCAACCAACCAGCAAACCAAAGCAAACCAACCATGTATTCGACCGGCAACGCCAGTTCCCCACACCCATACAGATGACACGCCTTGCCGATGAAGGATGATTCAGGTAATGTGTTCGCCTTTTGTTGCACTTTGCAGACTGCAATCAACAAACAACACCCGGAGGCTCACCTGTTAGTGCTGATGGTGTGGTTGGGATGATGGCCCGTGGGCCAAAAAATGGCTCAGGGCCATTCACCATTCACCCCACTCCACCCTGAAAGAACCCCGCGCCATGCGTGGCCTTGGATTTGTGCTTCCTGATTAGCTACAATCTGGCTTGTCAAGAATCAAGAATCAAGCCCAAGCTGTTGGGGGTGTCTTAGAGTTGGTTTGAGTCACTTGCTGCTTCCTGTTGCTTCTTAGGCGCCTTCATGCCTCACCTCAGGTCAAAGATGGGGCCCTGCGAAGGATGGCCAAGGAGCAAGGCGCAAGGGCTGCAGTTCGCACAAAATCAAGGTCCCTTGAGGATACGTGTGGGCCAGCTACAAAGCCACCTCAAAAACCAGCTGATTTTAGAGGATTCCCTCGTAAAGCCGGCGGTTCTTGGATGTATCCTTTAGAATGCAGCATGATGATTGCCTGGTTTGGTCGGACGTCGTGTGTTTCCCCGTTTGGTGGAACGTCCAGGGATAAACACTGACCGTTCCTTCTTTTGGTTGCAAATCAAGCGGCTTAACTTCTGGATCCCGTGTCTTTGAAGGAATTATTTTGCACGGGTTTCTTCAAAGAAACCATACCTACAACAAACGAGACGCAGGAGAGATCAATGGACAAAGGCGCGTTTCTTCACGCCTTGGAGTGGTATCCGGCTGGCCAGTCCGCTGATTTGCTGAATCGTATAAAGTTACCTTCAAAAAATCCGCCCTGGCTCACTGATTGAAGTGTGTTTGCCCATATTTTTTTCACACACAAGGCATGGCTGAATCCCTGGGAGTTCCTGACTTCTGGTTTGTGAATTGTAACTGCCTTGGCAATAGAAAAAGGAACGCCGCCTGTCCTACCCTTGTGGTTGGCTTAAAGGCCAAAGAGCAACCACGCATTTTAAGGTTCCCCTTGGAGAAACACACCCTGAGGTTTGGCGTCAACAAGGCTTCCGGTGAACAAAGGTTTGTTTGGCCGTTTGTTTGTTTGTCTGTCTGTGAGTTTTGTTTTGTTTTGAGGTGGGGGGGGTCCCTAGATGGGAAAGGACTCAAAGTGGGTGGTTTGGGTGGTTTCTTCTGGTTTGCCTTTACAAACGCCTCAAAACGATTATCCACAAAAGGAAAGGCCCATATTGGCTTTGGAGTCCTAGTCTCGCATGCCTCAGACACCCCAGACTTTTAAGCACTGCTTTCCGTCATATCACCGTTTGGTGAGCTGCTTTAGCGGTCCCAGCTGACGGGGACATTTCAGGAAGTGGTGCTTATCTGGCTTTGTTTTCCGCTCATTGCCATCTGTGCACAGGGCTTGTTGTAGAAGGAACAAAGCACGAAACACACACTGGGGAGGTTCCTGCCTTCCAACCCTTTGATTCCTTGGAAAGGGGCATCAACCCCAAGCCCACCAAACTAAGAAGAAGCCCCCCCACACGAGGTTGTGGGGTCTTATTCGAGGAAAGTTTGGTGGGGAGCTTAGAGTTGTTTGCCGCCTTGGATTCCTAGGACGCACAGGTTTGCGGATTAGTCGGAAAGCGCATTAACATAATATGTTGAAAGGTGTTGGTTGGGTGCACATAAATCACCGTGTAAGCAGGATTTCAGGGATCAAAGACTGAATGTATACGCCCAGCTATGAATCCCTGGTATGAACCCCTAGTTTATGGGTCAATTAATCGTGAGCTCTAACTCAAAAAAGAATCAGCCTGAGGCTCCAACAGGGCGTCTCGGTTCCCTTTACGGACCAAGAAACCATCAGCCTTTGAGGGGATTTCTTTGCTGCTGGCGCGGGTTTGCGCGTAAATCTCGCCGAGCATCCCGCAGGCCTCGACTCCAACCGGATGACCAAGCCCGACGCCGTGAGCGCCCGCTTGGCCTCTGTCTGGGGCTGGGAGGCGTGGGAAGAAGTGACCCGCTCTTTGTTTTTGAAGGAACACCGACCATGTTGGGGCCCGCCTTATATCGACACATGATCTTTTGGAGCTCAAGAGGTGATCTGGGCATTTGCTGCCTGCTCTCTTGTCCTTCTGTGCGAGTGTCTCAGCTACCACCAAGCTTGAGGCATTGGACAAAGGTTATTGGCATGATTTGTTGTTGTTGTTGTTGTTGTTGTTGTTGTTGTTGTTGTTGTTGTTGTTGTTGTTGTTGTTGTTGTTGTTGTTGTTGTTGTTGTTGTTGTTGTTGTTGTTGTTGTTGTTGTTGTTGTTGTTGTTGTTGTTGTTGTTGTTGTTGTTGTTGTTGTTGTTGTTGTTGTTGTTGTTGTTGTTGTTGTTGTTGTTGTTGTTGTTGTTGTTGTTGTTGTTGTTGTTGTTGTTGTTGTTGTTGTTGTTGTTGTTGTTGTTGTTGTTGTTGTTGTTGTTGTTGTTGTTGTTGTTGTTGTTGTTGTTGTTGTTGTTGTTGTTGTTGTTGTTGTTGTTGTTGTTGTTGTTGTTGTTGTTGTTGTTGTTGTTGTTGTTGTTGTTGTTGTTGTTGTTGTTGTTGTTGTTGTTGTTGTTGTTGTTGTTGTTGTTGTTGTTGTTGTTGTTGTTGTTGTTGTTGTTGTTGTTGTTGTTGTTGTTGTTGTTGTTGTTGTTGTTGTTGTTGTTGTTGTTGTTGTTGTTGTTGTTGTTGTTGTTGTTGTTGTTGTTGTTGTTGTTGTTGTGTGTGTTGTTGTTGTTGTTGTTGTTGTTGTTGTTGTTGTTGTTGTTGTTGTTGTTGTTGTTGTTGTTGTTGTTGTTGTTGTTGTTGTCGTGTTGTTGTTGTTGTTGTTGTTGTTGTTGTTGTTGTTGTTGTTGTTGTTGTTGTTGTTGTTGTTGTTGTTGTTGTTGTTGTTGTTGTTGTTGTTGTTGTTGTTGTTGTTGTTGTTGTTGTTGTTGTTGTTGTTGTTGTTGTTGTTGTTGTTGTTGTGTTGTGTGTTGTTGTTGTTGTTGTTGTTGTTGTTGTTGTTGTTGTTGTTGTTGTTGTTGTTTGTTTGTTGTTGTTGTTGTTGTTGTTGTTGTTGTTGTTGTTGTTGTTGTTGTTGTTGTTGTTGTTGTTGTTGTTGTTGTTGTTGTTGTTGTTGTTGTTGTTGTTGTTGTTGTTGTTGTTGTTGTTGTTGTTGTTGTTGCTTGTTGTTGTTGTTGTTGTTGTTGTTGTTGTTGTTGTTGTTGTTGTTGTTGTTGTTGTTGTTGTTGTTGTTGTTGTTGTTGTTGTTGTTGTTGTTGTTGTTGTTGTTGTTGTTGTTGTTGTTGTTGTTGTTGTTGTTGTTGTTGTTGTTGTTGTTGTTGTTGTTGTTGTTGTTGTTGTTGTTGTTGTTGTTGTTGTTGTTGTTGTTGTTGTTGTTGTTGTTGTTGTTGTTGTTGTTGTTGTTGTTGTTGTTGTTGTTGTTGTTGTTGTTGTTGTTGTTGTTGTTGTTGTTGTTGTTGTTGTTGTTGTTGTTGTTGTTGTTGTTGTTGTTGTTGTTGTTGTTGTTGTTGTTGTTGTTGTTGTTGTTGTTGTTGTTGTTGTTGTTGTTGTTGTTGTTGTTGTTGTTGTTGTTGTTGTTGTTGTTGTTGTTGTTGTTGTTGTTGTTGTTGTTGTTGGTTCTGTTCATTGTTTGATGTTTTTGCTCGCGTGCCAAGTGTTGGACACAGATTTCAACTCAAACAGCCTGAACTGCCGGAGAGCTAGGCGCCATGTGCCATGGTGGGAAGGCATGCGCACTCTCCACTCCGGCCAGGTCAGCCCCCAGGAGGAGGCCGCCTGGCAGGACGAGTTCGCCGTGGCCATGAAGAAGGCGGATGCCTCAACATGACTTCAATTGGCGTCTCGTCCATCTGCTGGGGTCATTAGTTTGACGGCTTCTGGGGGTTATCCAAGTCAGAAATTGTGGTTTCCCTTAAACCCACCACAAAATGGGGGGTGACTTTGATCATGGTAAAATAATGAGCCCAGATCTGCTTGATAATGTTTGAGATTCTCCTTTGTTGATTTTGCAGGGAATCTATCACTACCGGCTTTTCTTTGAGGGGACTTTAGCAAAGGGAGGGTTTGGATGGTTGGAGGGAAGCCAGGACACCAACCATGTATCATCTTAGGGCAGAACCATGTACCAACCAGCCAGGACACCAACCAAGTGGCCAACACTCCCATGTGTCCTAGTTCACATATACACATTCACATACTTACATTTACATACACACGTATTATATATACATAGCTTGTGAGTGTATATTGTACGTGACAAGTGGTGAGCGGGTAGTTAGTGACTCGCTCGGACCGAACATCAGATCGTGGTTTGCTGCTAATCAAGTCCCCGATATTCAGAGAAGGAATCCAAGGAGGCCCCCGCTGAATCCCCAAAGAAGATTCTGTTCCTAACACACATTTGCTGACGGATTCGGAGGTACAGTGAGCTCATGAGGTCCTTTTCTTTGGGATCCAACTCTTATCCAATTCTTATTTGAGGCTTTGCGCTCCAAGGCTCAGAGCCCAAGATGGTTTCCCTCGGCTCGTGTTGCCCAAAGAACAGGGAAGAACCCTCCTGCGGTGCATTTAGGTATGAACGTCTGGTTTGACACCCCCCGGTATGCAGCCCCTATAGTCTGCGGGCGAGTCAGACCTCACGGAAAACTAGCTACACAATGAGCCAATGTGGCCATGATATACGGGTTGATACCCAAACCACAAATCCAAACCACCATTTTCACAAATTAGCAGTAATTCAGGCGATCGGATTTCGTTTTCGGGTCGCCTTTTCGGGCTCATGACAATGACAGGTAACATGAAATGGGGCCAGCGTCCAAGTCCCTCATTTCTGCCCACCGCCCCTGGCGCAAGCCGGGCCCTTGATCATGTGGGCGATATTGGGCGGAAGTGATGCCTTTGAACAAAGAGCCAAACAAAAAAACAAATCTGAAGGCTTCGGCCAGCGCAATGCGGCGCTAGCGGGGGGCTTCGCTCAATCAAAAGGATGTCCTTTGTTGCTCTCACTGGGCAAGGCTGGATGTTGCGAGATGCGAGTTCCAAGTTTTTCGAGCGGTGCACCTCGATGCCCGCAAGACTCACGACGCCCAGGTGAAAGGCGACAAGGACAGAAGGGCGAAGCCGGCTTGGTTTCAAAGTGCGGGCGGGTTGCGCATTGACTTGGAAAGGAGTGCGCGGGTCAAACACCGGCTAGAACAACAACCTGGGGGTGCAAGGAGGAAGGATGGTGTGCCAAGTCGCAAAGATGCGCTTTGCTGGGGGTTCGGAGGGGGCAGGCAGGCTGGGCGACAATCAGGACCAGCCTGACCCCAGCGCACATGCGCGCGCACGCAACCAGAAGTAGGGGCCCTAATTTTGCCACCATTTATGGTGATCTCCTGGTTGAAGGAACAACCTTTTTGGGGCTAACAAGCATTTGTAGATTATTGCCTCAGGCTTTGGGGGGAGGGGCCTTCTGGTCATGTAAGCTTCCAAACATGTTTCGCTGATTTTGCTCGCGAGCTCGAGCTCGCCAAAGGGTACAACGGGCTCACTATGATGCGGGTCCTTTTTTGGGGCATTCCTTATTGCAGGTTCTGAAATGACTAACGTATTTGCAGATGATTGATGTGATGCCTTTCGATGCCAGGCTTCTAAGTGAACCATCCGACGGATCCGCGGGCGCATGCGGGCCGTGGCTGCCCCTGCCTCAATTCCAAACCCAACAGCCCTAGACCCGACCAACCCGAAGCTATGATCCTAAACTTGACGCGAAACCAACCCAACACCCATTGTCCCCCACCCACCCAGTCTCTTCACCGTTCTTGGCATGTGTTGTTGAGATCACGCCACTCGGCTCTGCGTTCAATTCCCGGCATTTGCCTTCTAAGAGGGCATGACGGTTGCCCGGGTTGTCCTTTCAGACAGGTACGTCTCGGAGGATACCCTTTGATGAAAGGCAAAACAACACTTATATATTGCGGGTTCGACCATTTAGAAGCCAACCCTTGTTGGAAGCAAATGAGGGTTGCCGCCTCAAAGTGGCAGTTGAACCCTTCAAGGGATGTTAAATTTGTTCCAAGTGAGGCATGAAAGACAACCCTTGGCCTTTTCAGCCGCCCGTGCTTGACGAATTGCATTCAGTCAAGGTGGTGGGTAGTGGTTGACCGTGCCTCGCAGGTTCTTCAAGAGACCTGGTGTTTGGCATCGACCCGGCTGGTTTCAAAAAGGCACAGGTTGAGTCAGCTGCAGTCCAAGAAACCAGATTACCACTCAGGGAGGCAGCCAGGGTCTTGTACCTCCAGCTTTCCTGCCCCAAAGGTAACTGGAAGCACTGGTAGAGGAATTTCTGCAGGAACTAAGCCAATCTCCTGCCCTTTGAAGAGGAACTTGCTAGTTTGCTGTCGATTTTCCGAAAGCCAGGTTCTTCGAAACAGGGCCCCTCGCTACATTATGTTACTTAGCTTTCAAGAAGTAGACAAACGTGACACCTCGAAGTAGAAAAGTCCAACTAGTGTTGACACATCGGAGATTTGTCGAGCTCCGGCTTTCCGCATGAGTCAGCATGCTTGTTTGTTGGCCGCTTTGCTAATCCACATTCACGCAAGATCGGCTGACTTCCACGTAAACGACTGATGTTGCGTGTGCTTTGATTTGTTCAATCCTTGCGAGCCGCTTGCAAATTGGCTCAAGGGAGATGTGGTGGAAAGCGCCGACGGCTTCGCCATCCAGTACGATGTGGGCCTGATCATAGGATGGCCACAGAAGCAATCATAGCCATTTCAGGGTACAGGTACTGGCCTGAATGAAATCTGCTTGTTATCACATGAAGCCATCCGTATAGATCCAATCTGGATAGATCTCCGACCTGAGATTTTCAGGAATCACGTGAGGAGCAACTCACTTCATGATCTGTCGTATCAATGAGGAGGGTCCATGCCCATCCACATCCCTTCAATGGACACCTCCAGTCAACAAAATAAAGCGCGGGGAAACTGACCCGAGGTTCAATGACATGGAACCAGCGATTGAAACCCTGCGTAACCCTAGCTCTTAAAAGTTTGAGCCACACCATCGGAATCGCTCCCCTCTGCGAAAAGGTTTCAGCGACTCGGGGATTTTGCGGGCCATGTTTGGCCCAAAGCAAGAGCTGATCCATGAGCACTGGGCGTGGCTCGGAGAAAGGGAGGGGGGGGTTTGGTTCTCAAAATGGACCCCTTTGTGGGTGGTGTTAAAGGGAAACCTGGATTTATGTGTCTTCCGCTTGTCCTTTTTTGTGTTTTGGTGTGTGTGTGTGTGTGTGTATGTGTGTGTTTTTTTTTGTTTTTTTTGGGGGGGGGGGGTGGCGGTACTTTTTGAGAAACACGCGACTGAGCTTTCACAATGTTCGGGGAGCGAGTGTCTATTCCCTCAATCGGCTTGATGTTGATCATTGATAGAAGCCCTCGGTGTTGCTATGTTTTCTATCGTGAAATTTGCTCACCTCTGATTGGCCTTGGCCCAATTTCTTTGAAACTGCAGTAGACAAACTGGTTCAATTCCAAGTCCAAACCTAAACTCCCTGCCCCCACAGTTGTGTTTGAACTGGCCCCTGCAGAAACATACAAATTGTCGATTTGTCTTGATTCATGAGAATTCGCGTCAAATGCTCTTGAAGAATTTTAAGGCTGGAAAGGGCACTTTCCTGCTTGCAAGGTCGTTCTAGCGTATCAACCTAATGACCTCGCTGGCAGTCACCAGAGATTCCTCTTCTCAGCACGACCACGTGCACCCCCACCTCCATTGGTATGAGAGCTCTCGTTCTCAGGATGTTTGAGCAAAAGCCTGTGGAAGGTCTTGAGAAATGCACATTCTCCCGACCCTAAACATGTACGAGCAGATTTGGCTGCATGTGTGTTTGCTGCCATTCTCCATGCGGGCTTGCTGCGTCCCTGCTTTTTGCTCAAGTAATCGCGTAGCTCCACAGCCACTGTAACGCGCGAGCGTAGTGCCACAAGCGCTTGGCAACAACAGGGAGCTTGTCATGCTGCACGGGGCTCTCATTTGGCAGGCTTGAGCAACAGTCCTTGAGCGGGCGCAATTGAGCAGGTGTGCTTTTCATATGCCAGTTGCGGGCGCAGTGCTGCGAGTGGGCGCACCTGAGCATTTGGGCTTATCATTGGGCAGCATGGACACAGGGAGCATGTTTGCTTAGCGTGTTGCGTGGAATGGTTGCACCCTCCTGATGCTGATCATGGTTGGCGCTGTGTGTTTTGCACAGATGGTCTTCAACCCCAGACAAGTCACTCTGGAACCTCCGTGGGCGGGGCTGTGGGCGGGATTCATGTTAGTTTTCAGTTTTGGTGGGAAAGATGCCATGTCTCAGGTGGTACCTCGCCGCCTGCGTGGGGCTCGTGGCCGCTTTGCTGCTGCTCCGCTCCTGCCGGGTTCCCGGCAGTGATCGGGAGGTGTTTGCGTGCTTTAGAGGGGGTTCTCGAAAGCTTTGCGGCATTTGGGTGTCAAGACACACCCATTTTTTTCGGGAAGCCATAGGTGCTCAGAATCAGTGGATCTTAACTCGATCGTTCCGATCTCTAACACCGAGGACAATATGTGTTCCCTTTCTAAAACTAATTTGTTGGAACCCGTTTAGGTTAGGTCATCCGAACCCAGAAAAAATGTCCAACATGTGTTGACATGTCCATTTGATTCTGGGGGGAGGAATGGATGATGGACGTACATGATCACAAGATTACCTGCTTTCTTTGGGTGAGTCACAGACATGGTCTCAACAAGAAACGTGCTACCCAATTGCCCAACTCATAAAAGCAAACTGATTGCGCCTGGAGCGAAGCTCGGTTTTCACAGCGAATCGTAATGGTTCGATGGATCACCCAAGACCTCAAAGGCGTTTGCAGCGACTAGTTCTCTTTTGACATGATTAATGCTTGACTGCTGTTGGGTTGGATCTTTAGACTTTAACTTTTTGGGAAATCAAGGTGTTTTCCACTAAACCCCCAACAAGTTAAGCGTTTTGCAGGGGGTCAAGAGCAACCAAGAATGCTATTCTTCAGTTTCTCCCTGGACAAACGAGAGCATTCACACTGCCCGTCGCCACCTGGCTCAGACGCCTGACGCCAGGTTGGCAAGCGAGGGATGTCCTGAGGAGGCAGGGAAACCCGAAAGGTATTAACCTTCGTAGTGGAGCAATCGTCAAGCCGTCCCATTTGTAGGTCCCCCAGGTGCCCTTTCTCACCCCTTTGGTTGGGAGAGTTCACGTACTAAAATAGACTATACAGAAAAAAGGGTACCCTTATTCTAACCTCTCTACTGGAAGACGTAGCATTTTGTTCACGAATGCTTCTCCTGAGTCCTTTTTGTTCTTGTTCGTGGCCACACTTTTTAACACATGCACTGTTCTGGCACAGCTTGTACAGCTTGTCTTCTGACCTCTCACCATTCCGAACACCACAGCGGTCCTGCCAAGGGAGAAATTCCAGTGATAGCTGAGGTGAAGCAAGGGTGAGAATGTGTAGTCGAAACTCAATAAGAAAAGGCGACTAGGGTCCAAGACATGTGTCGGCCTCTTTCACCAGCCTCTTGATTTACGCCCACTGCCCACAAGACGCTCTGCCACCTTACAGGTACAAAGGAGGCGAAGCCATGTAAAGTTATCCAAAGCCTTGGGATTTGTCGAGCCTTGGGGATCGGTGGAAAGATCCATAAAGCTCTGCGGGCAATCTGTCCTACGTGTATTCGAGTGGATCTAGGAACAACACCGGTTCACCAGCAATAGATTTCACTGCCAGCACCATGCGAGCAGCACCCAAGACCTTCTTAAAACCCAAAGTGAATGGGTTTCTGCTTTTACTTGCATATTTTGGAATCTTCGGAAGCCAAGGGAACCGGCCTGTCAGCTCGTTGCGTTTGTATGTCACGGACCAAAAAACCTGGGGTATGGTCATATCAACCTCGGTGTTTTCGACCAAAGGTTCCGAAGGCAACCATGAGCTCGGGTTTGCCTCGGAAGGCTGATAATTTTTATCAGTTACCCATCCAGGTGCTACGTTTGGGTTTTGAGGCTTACGTCTCTCGGGTAGCTTTTTGAAGGGGCGACACGAGGCCACCCCCTTCCGTCAACCCCTGGTGCCCGGGGTAGAACCAATTTGTGTGCGGGTGTCAAAGCATCCAGGTACCCTTGAACCCCCCGACTTGGGTACCCTCGAAAAACCACAGGTTTTGCGAGTTGGCCGCGCAGGCAGCCGCCGCATCTTATCCTGGTGGTTCTCGGCTTTGGCTCTCTGCCTCCGGCACTGTGGGCCCTGACCCAGCTGTGCCACTGGCGAAGTTCCAGCCGAAGATTGGGGACGTTCGGGACTGGTTTTCGACGCGGCCCTTTTCGTGTTGTGAGGGAAGCTGGTCCCCATTTTGTTTTTTTAAACCGGGCATGCGCCTCTGAGGCTTACGCTTTGGCCCGAATGTGTTTGCTTGAGGCTTTGAGGCTCTTGATTCATGACCATAGGACAGCTGAGAAGAGACAAGGAATGTGGCCGTGACTTTTGTGGAGGTGCCCTGGAGAAACAGTTTGGGGTGCAGGGAAACTGCATAAAAGCCAAACCCCATTTGTGAAACTGGCTGAGAGACCCCTCCTTGGCGGTCGGATCTTCAACCTTGAACTCGACTGAACATGTGGGTGGGTCCTTTTTGGAGGGTACCCCTTTTTTGGGATTGGTGTAACGGGAAACCAAAAGGAAAGCCACCAATTTTGGGGGCCGAGACACCCATGTGGGCCAAGCCTCCAACTGGTTGTCTCTGGAGCGGCTCCTTGAATCTGAATCGCATGCATTGCAGGCAGACTGGGGGTGATGTTGACCCCGTATTCATAAACCCATCCTATGAAGAGGGGTGTGTTCCCCCGCCAAAAGTGATGAACCCAGACTAAAAGGTAATCCGGTCCCATTCAGCCCAACGGATTGGGAGTCCATTGAGAGCTCAATGGCTTGTCCTCAGCTTTGGCTTTCGTGGCTAGGCACCTGACCTGGATTTGCATGCCGCTGGGTTTGCTCCTGGCCCGCGCCCGAGCCCAGCAGAATCCTGCAATCGAAGGATCTCAAGTGGCACAAGGGTTTGGCCAACCCGTTCGCTAACTTCGTGAGAGCATGGACCTCAAACTTTTTTTGGGAAGACCCTTTTAGTGGCAAACACACTGTTTGACTTGTTTTGGCCAATCCACTCAGGAAGTTAGTTTGAATGTTTGTGCAAAACACCAAATGTTTAAACATTGTCGTGGCCATTGCCACCGACCCTTCCCGTGCGCCTCCCCTTTTCAAGGTGGGGCCGGCGGATCTTCAAACAACGAACCCCCCAAAGCAAAAACAACTATAACCAGAAAATGCGAAGCCCTTATCATCTATTTGTTGAAGCGTATTTGTTGTTTTACCCCGTTGGCTTTAGAGGGAAGTGGGCATGATGGGAAAATTTGTGAATGCCACTAAGAAGTCAAGTGGAGAATATGCCAGTCTTTGGTAGCTGTCCAGGTTTCGACGGAAGGCAATTTTAGGGTGTTGTGCCTGACTGTGCCACAGCGCCCGATTCCTCGATGACAGCAAGGCTCAGGTGCTGACACAAGGAAAGACCAGAGTGGGTGAAAAAGGAAAAATATTCAGTCACTCGGGCTCGAATTTTGTGAACTGCAGTTCTCTTGCCACATATTTCATGTGCTTCCTTTCTGCTTGTGTGGGATCTGGTCACTGTGAAGAATTCCTCCTGTTTTTTGCACCCACCGGACGCATGGAAGGTTTGCCATGCAGATTGAGAAGGTGGCGCGATTCAATCCGGCGACGGATACCATAAAAGCCAGCTGCAAAACAACATGCAGGCAAGCACAAAAGCAACACAAAAAGCAAAGCGCACAACAACAAGCAGGCAGCAAACCCAGGGCGCATACAAAACATAAGAGAAGCGCAGAGCCGAAGCCTGCGTTTGCCGGCTAAGATCCTGGCCAGCGCCGGCTGCAGCTGTCGCCCTTGGCTCAACATGCGCAGGGCACCACTGTTCGGAGGGTTCGGGTGTTTGACATAAACATGTCAATGTCAACACTCGTGGGACATGCCAGGAGGACAGACCAATGAGCCCCGAACCCAAGTGGACGACCCTTTTGCAAAGACCTTGTTGTGTCTGGAGTCGTGCTGGAATCAAACAGGTGTCTTTTGTGTCACAACATTGATTGAGCCCTTGTTCTGTCAGCATGCAGCCTCAGCGCAACTGAACAAGATATTCGATTGACCTGCTGGCAAAGCGTGCTTGTTTTGCAAAGAGGCTACGCCGTGACCTTCAAGACAGAACTTGCAGCAAAGCAAACAAATGCACATTACATGTGTTGCAACAAATGGCAAGGATCCCAACCATTTGGAGGAGTTGGTGCTCAAGTTTGAGAAACACAAGTAATCTATCAAGCCTCAACAAAGATCAGACATGGTTTCGTATGGGTGGCAATATAGGGTTTTGGACCAATAAATTGTGGTTGTGATTCTGGTTTCCTTGGCGTGAATAGCCGCCCTGTTTCAAAGCAGTTTCTATCAGACGTTTTGCAAGTGATCTCCCGGATACTTGCGGGAGGCGGTGTCCAGAGGTCGCTGTTCTCGTTTTGTTTTTTTGCATGGCCTCCAAAGTGGAGACACAGGTGGCCGTTGTTTTGGTAGAAAATAGATGGCCCTGGCTGTGCTAGGGCCATCTATTTCCCAAAAGGACACCTACGAGTGGGGCCTCAGCCCAGACAGTTTGCACTCGGTTCCACCAGTTCCAGCTGCTGCATCGCCGACTGGCGGAGGGGGGAGGCAACCTGAAAGGTTCTAAGACTTGAGGCATCAGTGCCTTGGATGGAGGATGCCCTGATTCTTAGGTCCATTAGCATGGGATCCAAGGGCCAATGTTCGAACAGCCGGCACAGCCTCAACCATAGCAGCAAGAAGCCCGTCTGATTCTTAGCATGGTTAGCATGGTTTTGGGCCGACTATTCCAATACCAGTTCTTGTTTTGGAGCATGAGCAAGCTTCGATCTTGGCTGACCACATCTTCGGCCATTTGGCTGAATTCGGCGAGACACCAAGGCAGCTTCATTCAGGGCAACTCCGAGAAGTAGGCGCCGCGCTGGCGTCTCACCCAGTGCTTCCAGTTACCACAAGAGCCGAGCTGGTTTGCCGACCTCCAGGTTTTACATAGGTGCGTCTTTTTGCATTTTCTCTTTTTTGCCATGGTTTTAAGTGGAAACCTTTAAACGGAAACCAAGTAGAACATCACAATCCGGGGCTTGGGTGGCCCTATTCTGACTCAAATGCCTGGCCGCGAGCAAAGACTCGTGATGTTGCTCCTTCGCCTAATATGGTGGAGAATCTGATGCCGAGCACCTCGTTGGGTGAGCACAAAACACTGCACTGCAACACATGTTGTGTGAAGGTGCCATGCCCAACGCATCCGCAATTATCTAGTTGCTGCTTTTGTCCCGCAGCCGGCTTGGGTCTGTTCTGTGTCGGGAGACCTCCTTTTGCTTGGTAGCGGGGAAATGAAAGGTACGCCATCATCGCGCTTTTTACGGTCCTGATCCAGTTAAGCCTAAGGTTTGCCAAGCAACCGAAAATGATCCGGCTAGTTTGGGCAACGCCTGCCTGCCCATAAAGCCAAAGACCACAAAATAATAAGCAGAAAGATCCACCGAAATCTGACGCCAACGATGACAAACACCAGCCTTTGACAGAGGATCGGCGACCTTTTGAACCTTCTTCGTTGTTCATTTGACAAGTGTTTTCTAGATATGGCAGCCAGATGTGGTGGGTACATAAACAGAAAAGTCCAAATCAATCCGCGCGTGTCTCGTGTCGGAGCCATGGAGACCCCGTTGCTCGCCTGCGCTGCGCCGGTCAGCTCACTCTGCGCCAGCCCCGAACTGGGGCCACCTGACTG